GTGACGCTGACGTGACGTGACCTGGGCGGATACATTCGTTGACTCGCGCTCACTGACGTGACGGTGACGCTGACGTGACGTGACCTGGGCGGATACATTCGCTGACTTGTACTCACTGACGTGACGTGACGCTGACGTGACGTGACCTGGGCGGATACATGCGTTGACTCGCGCTCACTGACGTGACGGTGACGCTGATGTGACGTGACCTGGGCGGATACATTCGTTGACGCGCGCACACGGACGTGACGGTGACGGTGACGGGGACGTGACACTGCCGGGCAAATGCATGACATGACACGTGGGCGACGGTGACGTGACAGTGACGGTGACGTGACGTGGTTGGCAGACATGCATGGCGTATAGTAGTAGTAGTAGTAGCAGCAGGAGTAGTAGTAGTGGTAGTAGTAGTAGTAGTGGTGGTAGTGGTAGTGGTAGTAGTAGTAGTCGTCGTCGTCGTAGTAGTAAGTAGTGAGTAGTGAGTAGTGAGTAGTAAGTAGTAGGTAGTAGGTAGTAGTAGTAGTAGTAGTAGAAGTAGTAGTATAGTAGCAGTAGTAGTGGTAGTGGTAGTGGTAGTAGTAGTCGTAGTAGTAGTAGTAGAAGAAGTAGTAGTAGGAATAGAAATAGTAGAAGAGGTAATGTAGCAGTAGTAGTAGTGATTGTAGTAGTAGTAGTAGTTGTTGTTGTTCTTGTTTGTGTTATTCTTGCGGTTCTGTGTGCGTTTGCTCCAGTGCTGGCGCTGATGTGTTTGTTGTGGAGGATGTCGTTGGTGTTTGGCGTTGTCTTGTTGTTGGTGTTGGCGTTATTGTTGACGTTTGTTGTTGTATGTTGTTGGGTGTTGTATGTTGTTGTCGGTTAACGTCGTCGTGGATGTTGTTGGTTGTTGTTTTAGTTGCTGTTTTGTTCCAGCGCTGGCGCGGATGTTGTCGCGATTGCTGGTTGGTTGTAGTTTATAGTCTGTTGCTATTGTTCTGGGCGTGGTCGTTGTTACATACAGGCGCTGCCGCGGGCGGTAGCACCGCAAAGCGGAGAGAATACTGTTACGCAGCGTTGAGCCAGTACATTTTCTACGCGCTGAGTGTGGTAAACTTGGAAGAAGCAGATGTGTAAGGAAGCTCTCACGCCGTTAGGAAGCTGTTACACCATTACCGAGCTGTTCTGCAGATCAGAAGCCAATACCCCGTTCAGAAGCTGTTAAAGCCATAGGAAGCTACTGCGCCGATAGGAAATTGTTACACCGTTGGAAAGAAAAACGGCGCTTAGGTCAAAGACGCAGGCCGGCCACTGAGTTAATGTCAGAAGATGTTGCCTTCAAAGTCTGCAGCGTTTTCTCACCTGTAAGCAAGGTCAGCAAGGCTTTGAAGTTACAGTGACAGCATACCAAGCACATACGGAAAAAGCCATGAAAGTATGACATCAAACGACCGTGAAGAAGATTTCTCACGCTCAAAATGACCAAGCTTGCAATCCTTTCGCGGTTCGCCGTCCGAAACCAAAACGAGACTTGGATCATAGACCAATGGGCAGGCCACGCACAGGTGGTGTCACATGGAGTGCGGAGGAGCGTCCAATATGGACAACGCCACCACCAGAAGTCAAGAGGGATGCTGTTTGCGCTAAAAGTTGTTATGGTCATACACATGGCACATAAAACATGCTTTCTTGGCAGCTGCAGAGAGGCAGGCCAAGAACAGCGATGGCTCGGCCACATGTGAGAGATGATGAAACCCAAGCGATGGAAGATGTTAGCGCAGCATAAATTTAGCCACCCAGCAAGATGCGCCAACCGGATGCTTTGAGGAACGTCCACGAAGTCTTACAAGGCCCAAGGATGAAAAGATTAAGCTTGCTTGGTACGACCGCGCGAGGCCGGCAAACACACAAGTGGCACGGTCCCTGGAGATAGCCCAATTGCATCACGATTGCGCCCTGTATGGCACAAGTAAGGACACAAAGAAGGGAACATCATTTATAGAGCAGAGCGCTC